GGGGATTGAACTCAGGCCCTTACACTTGCCAGAGAAGCGCTTATTCCACTGAGCCATCTCCCCAGCCCCTAGATATCTAAGTTTGTGAATTATATTTTTAAGTCTTCCATTCTCTACTCTCTTTCAGGCAAGTCCATTTTTATATGGTTAAAGTTTCACAACTGTTTTTGTCTTTTAATCTTTTCTCCTTGTGATTCATTTTTGCATCGTTCCTGTGAGGAACAGTGAGGCTGTCTTCCGTCTCACTCAGTTCTTCTGCAGTGCTTATTCTGTCCATTCCATTCCATGTACTTTTCACTTCAAACATTGTCATGTTTATCTCTATAATTTCAATTTGGTTCTCGTTTAATCTTCCACATCTCTCCTTACCATAGCCATTCTCGATGAAAATGACAATATATTTAAACAGCCATTTCAGTGTCCTTATTTGCCATTTCTATCAGTTATATAGTTTCATTCTCACGTGTGCTGATTAGTACTATCCTCAGCTGAGAGGAGCTTTTTGATAATTCTACAGAAATCTTGCAGTTTTCTCCTCCTACAGCTCTCTCTCTCTCTCTCTCTCTCTCTCTCTCTCTCTCTCTCGCTCAGGGGAACTGCTGGTTCTTCTTACATTTCCCACTTCTAAGTGCCATCTGGGACAGTCATAGGGCTCACTCAAGAATCACCAACTTGTGTTGTCTGCCGTCCAATGTCTGAAAACTGCAGTTCCCTATAACATGCCAGTTTTTAAATTGCTTATGTTGGAAGGCAAAACTTTACTTCCTGTTATGTCATCTTGGCTGAAAGCAGAAGTTTCAGACTGGCTTTTCTAAAACATAAAACATGATTGAAATGCACTGGCAAGCCACTGAAAAATTTTAAGACGGAAATTACCAAGTTGATTTGAATTTTAGAAAGGTCACCCTGAATATAAACCAGTAAAATATCCTGGAAAACTATTGGAACACATCTCCAAAGTAAATCTTGGCACAGTGTGAGAAGCTAGACTTTAAGAACTTATAGTTAGATGTTTCTAGAGTATACTTAGAGGTTTCTCCCTGGGGACCTAAGTCTAGGATAGTCTGTAGATGCCGGGCCAAGTGTGCATTTCTAATACAGGAGTTAAAAATCACAGCTTTCTCTCTCTCCATGAGTACAGAGTCAGCCCTTAAAATCCTAAACATGGCCTACTAGATATCTAACTTACTTGTTCAGCTATAAACCCATGAGCATGGATCATTTTTATCCAAAATTGTGGCCATGACAGACTCTCAGAAAAAAGGTACTGAGAGCCAGGGCTCAATACTTGGGCTCTTCCTTAAATACGGCATTTGGGACACATTACTTAATCTCTGTGCTCTTCAAGTTTCTCTTTTGCTGCGTGGATAGGACTTGGTTGTAAGATTGCAATATACCTTCCCCAAGGAAGCCCTTGAATTGTCTCAGTCACTTTTCTTGACACTGGGACAAAAAACATCTGAAATTAAAGGACAGGCTTATTTCAATTGATGTTCTAGAAGTTTCAGTCCCTTCATGGTTAACTGGCTCCAGACAGAGGAAGGATTGTTGAAGAGCCAGGGTGGGGGACAGCTACTCTCTTTATGGCAGAAGGAAGCCGAGAGAGGGACAAAGGAGGAGCCAGGAAGGAAGAGGTAGCCCTTCAGGTTGCACCCACAGTGAGCCACCTCCTGTGACCAGACCCCACCTCCTAACAAGCAGACTGCCTAAGAGCCCCGACAATCCAATCACCTTCCAAAACCCCACTTATGAACACATGAGGCTCTTGGGGAACGTATAGATACAAGCCAGAATAACTGCTCTTGCCTTTGATACTGCTATTCTTCCCAGTAAGACCTATCTAGATTGAGAAGAGGATCAGAAATCACAGGACAGTCTCTTTCTCTAAAGAAAAAAAAAATTCCCACCTATGTTGAAGAGGACACTAAGACCATGAACCTCCTGGAACATATGCCAATTTCTACGATGGTCAAACAGGGACTGCAGGGGCCAGGGAGATGGCTCAGTGGAATAAGCGCTTCCCTGGAAAGTGCAAGGGCCTGAGTTCAATCCCCAGTTCCGCCAAAAAAAAAAAAAAAAAAAAAACAGGGACTGCTAAGACCATGAGCCTATCCTACCACTGCATAACAGACCAGATTCCAGGCCAGGGCCACACTGGACATAAAGTGTCCTATTTTAACCACTAATCTGACCTTGGACAAGCCACATTTTTTTCTAGGCCACTGTTTCTGTATTTGTACTACTATTGTAGGAGGGCAAGACTCATTCCTTCTGGGAATATCTGAAAGAAACATGAGGACAATAATGGGTATTTTTAAATGCTAATAAGAATAAGCAATAACCAAAACTTAAGGCACCAAAAGTATAGTAACTAAACAGATAAAGTACTTCTACATATATAAGGAGAATCATTTCAAAATGGCTATTTTTGGTAATTTTAATAGACTTCCCTCAAAATAAAAAGGACCACATAGATACCAGGAAGTACATAGAAAAATATAATAATGCAATTAATAACATAACTTTACATTGAAATAGAGAACATAAATTTTTATATTGACATAGAGTACTTACAACAAAAATCACCTTCATATTGTATCACAATGAAAACACTGACATTCAAGAAAGTAAAACTGTGGAGCCGCTTACATTATCCCAATAAAAAGAAATAAAATTAAAGGACACTCTTTAATTTAAAAATCGAAATTAAGTGCTGGCCAGATAGCTCAGAGGATAAAAGCACCTGCTTAGGCAGACGCATGGTCAATCCCCGGTGTGCCATGCCAGCCCTGCCCCCAGGGCATGCTGAGATGGCATTTGACATTGGGCTTGGTGACGCTTGCTTGTAATCCCAGTGCTTAGAAGGCTGAAAAAAGGAGGATCACTATGAATCCAATCTGTGTAGTGAGACCCTGCACTAAATATATAAAAAAATTAAAAATCAAAACTCAAAAATACACCCCAAATTACCCATGTATCAATGACAATAAACCTTTTCCATGCACAAATTCATGGAACAAGGCAAAAATGTACACCCAGAAAGTAATACCATAAAAGTAATGGTTCATGTATTCTAAAAATGGAAGGGCTGACATTATATATTAGACAGAGCTTACCAGAGTCAGGTGTAGAAGAACCCGAGATGCCTGTTTATGTGCTGGAGGCCCGGAGGGTTCAGTGAGGGCTTGGAGCCCACGGCAATGTCCCATGCAAGCCCACATCCGAAGGCCAAAGGACCCATGAGGGAGAGCAGAGGACCTGCGCCAGAAAGGCCTAAGGGCCAGTGCGGCAAGCACAAGTGGCTGTGCTGAGAGGTGGAAGAACACGAGCCAGAAGCGGAGGGATTCGCCTGGAGAGGGATCCAAGAGGCAACATCCAGGATAAAGACAAGGACTGAAGCTCCCGGAAGAAAGAAAGCGGCCAAAGCTCCTTTGAAGAAAAGCAGCCTCAAGGAGGCTCTTCCCAGGAAGATCCGCTACAATCCTTCTTCAAATCAGCTGGGCGTTTCTACTCCAGTTGACAATTGATTTACCACCACATGTTTTTACTATTTTAATAGGTAAAACTAATGCGAGGAAAAAGACAGTATGTAATTTAAAAAGGATGACTATATCCAACACTTGGGAAGCTGAGGAAAAGGATAGCAAGTTTGAGTTCTGCCTGGGCAACTTAGTAAAACAGATCCTTAATTAAAAAAAAAAAAATTAATGAAAAGGTGAAGGGGATATCGCTCAGTGCAAAGGCCATGGGTACCCTAGTACCACCACCATCGAAAAAAGGTAAATACAACGCTAAATTTTTTAATAAAGCAGGTGATAATATGAAGTTACCATAAACATTATTATAAAAATGTAAAAAATACACAAGGTTTTGTATGAGAAATGCTATAGTTATAAAGTTAAAGTAGGGTATGTAAATATTAGTCATAAATTTACGTATATAAAATACACTTTGCTATTTTAAAAACATTTTTAGTATTTATACTATTGTATAAAGGTAAAATATTCTATAATCTAATCTTTAAAGAGCAAATAAACTTATTCTCAGTTCAGCTAGTATAGACCATATAAAATAGACATTTCTGCGTTAATTTAACAAGCCACGATAACTCACTATTCACATAGTCTACCAAAAATGACCAGTTTCACAATAATATAGATACCCAAAAAATCTAAAACTATTTCAGAAGACATACATAACATATGAAAATCTATCAAATATATCAATTTTTGCGATGAATAATACAGCAGACTATGTGGATTTATATAGCAGGGAGGAGATGATTGAATATCCAAGTATCTAGCGACAAAATTTATTACATCAACCAAATAAAGGACAAGCCACATAATCATATCAATACATGACTTCAAAGGAATAAATAAGATCAAGCAACAATTACAAATAAAAATTCAAAACTAGGAATCATTTACATACATGTACCAAAAATAGTGGCAAATTTCTCTCAGCAAAGAAATGCTATAGTCATTTTAAGTAAAAGTAGAAAAAAAATGGGTCACGACTTTAACATTTATCACTATTATTTCAGATATCTGTCAAATTCAATATGTCAAGGAGGCTATATAATTTTTATAAATATTGAAAAGTATTCTCATTTTTTCCAAACATGATTGTTTGTCAGCAAAAGTCAAGAAATTCTACTTCAAATTTAATAAAATCTGCTCTGGTCCTAAATGTACTTGACAAGTATTTTTTAAGTATTTCTAAGGACTTCCTGTATATTAGTCATACCAATCCAAAACAGAATGAGTAGAAAATATTTCACTCTCATAGGCAAAAAAATTACAAAATACCTTGGGAAATCTAACAAGGAAAACAATTAAGGTTTCCAAGCTTGAGCCACAAAAGACTTTGCTCAACATAAACTTTGTATTTGGGTTACATCAGACACTTTTATATACTTGTGCTGTACTGCGCCGTTCCTCTTGCCCGCGCTCCTCTTCTCAGTGATAAACTATTTGTCCTTTTTAAACCACTCTCCCCATGCTCATCTCCTGTTTCCTTCCTCCACTCCTCTGCCTCCTATAGGCAATTCCCCTTAGGTAAACTCCCCCTGCAGGAGGTGAAAAGAAAAGATTTGGGGAATGTGAAGGAGCGAAAGGGAGGGAAGGGTAAAAGATGGACAAGAGTCACACACATGCCCCAAAGGGGTCTCCAGAAACCGCAAGCCTCTTAGCTTAGATTGGGTGCTAGTCTGAAGTTCACGCATCCTTGCAGCCCTGTCTCCTTTCTCTGTCTCCTTCCACTCTCATCTCCCAGGATCTAAGTCCCCGGTGACACTTGTTCAATTTCAGAGTTAGACATCAAGGACGCAATGGCTCTAGAGTCCACTCCACGGCCAAACACATTCCGTCGCCAAAGCATGTACGCAGACCCCTTGGCACAGGATAGCGCCTTCAGCAACCGAAGAATGACCATGATGAAAGACTGGCCAACCAGGAGCTCAGACATCGCTTTTGAACGCAAGCTAAAGAGCCTCATGGAGAAGGGTACTGAACCCAAGATAGAAAATGTGAAAATGCTGAAGCCAGAGGAAGTGCTGAGCTGTCGGTGAGCGCCTGGCAGGGCCGGCTGGGCAGGGGCATTATGGACCAGATTTTGGTTTTGTTGTAGTTTTTTAATGTATTTAGTACAAGGTCTACAGGGTCTCACGACACAGCTTGGACTCGTAGTGATCCTCCTGTTTTCAGCCTCCCAAGTGCTAGGATTACAGACGTGCCCACCATGGCCAGTTTTGGTGGCTGGCTCAGGGATGGGGCCAGTGCACCATGTGGTGCTGGGGATGGAACCCCGGGCCCCTGAGCCTGCTTGCAGGCACTTTAATTTGCTGAGCTATTTGGCAGGCCCAAGGAGCAGATTTTGAATGCTGCTGTCCCTGAAATATAAGAAGGTGGGCTCAGCCTCCGTCCTTCAGTCCCAAGAGCCTGCCCCAGGCTAATGACACTGAGTTTGCCAACAGCCTCCCCCCTCCCCCCCAACACCTCCCACATGGGTGTGCCAGTTAGGTGCTGCCATTTGGATGCTGTTATCCATCTGGACACTTACACAATCCTTCCAGTATTTCCATTTGTTTCACAATAAAAACCAAGGGTATTATCGAACAGGAAGGGATGAGTTGTGTGTGGTCTTGGTTTAACAGGAAATTCCCATAAAATCCTTCACACAAATGTTGAATTTCAGGTGATAATAGTCACTATCTCCAGCAGCTATCTGCTGTACATTTGGGGTTTTAGACTCCCATGGGAGGTATGAGCAAAGTATAAAACTATTTTGACATATACTCATCTAACCAAGGGTCTCCTTTGCTCCTTTCTGGTACCTTATTTACTAGGACTCAATTGTTTTCAACAACACCAAACTTCCTGGTTTTCCCCAAACAAAAATCCACAGATCCCACTCCCTAAGCCAGTGTTATTCTTTACTGTAAAGAGACAAATGAAAAAGTTCAAAAGCTTTAGCAGAGGGAGGAATAAGACAACTGAATAATGTAGTAATACTTATAGAGCTGACAGCAATAAACTCATCTGTGGGTTTAAGATGACCTTAAATGTCTGAAAACCAAACGGCCTCACTGCTAAGGTCTGCTCTGCTCACTCACTGACTAAGGGGTGAGTAGAGTGCCTGCATGGCTGGGGTGAGCAGACAGAGTTCCCCACTGATTAGCCTTGCAGGCGGTGACTGGCTTGGCTTTCAGATCAACAAGTAGTTCTAATTTACTCTGGCCAATAAACATCCTCCTGGGCTCTGTGGTGAAGGGAAGAGATTTGGACAGGACTGCTGCCCTCCAAGGAGAAAGAAGAATATTTGAAGAGATGCCGTCTTTGGAAAGGACAGAACAGTTCAGCATAGGACTTAATGGGCATCCCTGGGTCCAAACGTGGTAACTAGGACTGTGCCAGAGATATCAAAGAAGGGGTAATCCAAGGAAGGGCATTCGTGTGGGAGCCTAAGCTGGCCATAGTGGAGAAAGTTCTGAGGAGGTTTCATCAGAAAAAAGAACAAAGGCCATTACCAAAGGGCACAAAAGCAGCTTTTACCAACACACACCATTAATATCCCCCATCAGCTGCAGCAAAGTAGCCACCAGCAGATGGCCTACATAGTTTTCCTTACTCCTCATACAAACCTGTCACCAAGGTCAAGGCTGACAGTGAGTAAGGAGCTCTGGCTGCAATAGCAGACACAACAGCAGAAACACTCTCTGGGTCACACAGTATAAATGGCGTCGCTGTCAGCCTTCCATCGACATCAGAATTATGGGGCTTTAAAAATGTTTTAAATTAGTGGCCCAACTTTTAATTATTTGCAAATTACTCAAAAATACCTACTTGTATTCTCCAACGTTCAGCCATTCTTTCTGTGGCTCTGTATTTTCCTGGCCCCTCACATCCCTCAAATCCTGTGTTCATTACACTGACGCCCCACAGAATAGCTTGAATCCTAGTTTTTCTCCCCATGTGGCATGTGAAAGACATGTGACAT